ATCTGGTGTCAACTTGAGTCTGTTAACTGTAAAGGGATGAAGTTCAACCTGTCAATCAGGTCACAACTTGATGACTTCATTTGGAGGCACTACAGAGATAAATAACTCACTGGAGGCCAGACTCACACTCTGCTGACAAGGCACATAGAGCTATGCTGATGGAGCTAGCGCCTTGGAGCTGGAGGAGCCACATGGAGATCCTTGCCAGCATTGAGATGCTTCCACTGCCACTGGATCCACAAGACTTTCCACCCACTAGCCTGTGATCTTCCTGTATTCTGTGTCATTGCATGTGTTGCATGAGTCTGCAGAGGAATATATAGACGGGTATCAAACATATGGGTTAATATCAGACTTATGGACTTGATCTGGACTGGGTTGGGATGTTTTCTTAATACACATTTGCTATTTGATATAAAGTTCTCTCTTACACACATTTGAGAGTCTATGAATGTGTTTCTCTACTCTACCCATACTAACACATCTATCTATATATATTTACATATATACATTTCTATATTTATGCCTATATATGGCTATTACTTTCTAGTTCTTTCCTATTTTTCTTATTTCATTCTTTCTACCTCACTATTATGCTTACCTATCATGCATCTCTCAGTTATCCCTCTTGGATGCACTTCAGTTGGATGCATTCAGTTGATTAAACACGATCAAACACTATTGATTTTAGATCGCTTGCTATTGTCCTGTCCCTGTCCTTGTTAGTTCCTTGTTTCCCTCTCCCCCACCTCCCACCTCCTCCTTTCCTGTGACCTCCAGGAATCGTTGGTTCCATTACTGTCTCCTTAAGATTGTTTGTCCTGCTTATCTTATATAGACACCAAAAGAGAAAAGAAAAAATAAATAAAATAAAGACCATATAAATGTCTAACTGTTGTCCTTACCCAAAGTATATGAGTATTCTTCTCTTAAGCAGTGAGCAGTCCCTGTTTATTCCATTGGTCCAATCTCCTTTTCTTTCAGGGATTCTTTTCCCAAGACCTGCTTACCTAACATCTCTTATACCCTTTTAGTCCCCAGCATTCATGTCCTTGGTGCGTGCCTCTACAAGACCCCTTTGCTCTTCTTACAGTCAAGGATGGAGCAGTCCAGTGCCCTACCCCGTTATACCTCTAGACTTTCGGTGTGGCTCCCTTGTGAATATCCTCCAACCAATTTAGATGAGGTATCAAGTGCTGTCTTGTTAGCTTCTGGCTCCCCTCTCCCCCACCTCCCACCTCCACCTTTCCTATGACCTCCCAGAACCCCCACCTTGCCACGAGGCAGAAGTCTACACTCGAGCTTCCTCAGGGACTTTGTGGCTTTGCTCCCATTGCTGGTCTGTTGTGCTCCCCTCTTGGTTTGCCCCCATATAAGTTAGCCCAATGTTCAACTCATTACATTACCATGGCTCCTTATACTTATCCATTAAAGAACAATGTAAATGATGCTCAATCAGTGGACTAGCACTTTATCCCAAAGTTTTCTCTGCATTTTTATTTAAGGAAATAGTCAATAAGTATAGCAATAGTTACAAAATCTTTCCCCAGTATATTGTCAGTATTTTTATGCCCACTCAGAAAATGATAAAGTAATGGACTCAGACCACTTTACCTCTTGATTTCTGTTATCACAACTGTTGATGGCTGTAGAGTCCATTCCATCATATAGTGTCTCCAAGTGGACCTAGCAGAACTGTTCCACAGAGTTCTAAAGGCCATGACCTTCCAGGATCAGATCACCAAGCTTGTGTTCCAAGGTGACACTGTGTGGATTCCAACCATCAATCGTTAGGTTAGTAGTAAAGTGACTAACTGCTTGTGCCACCAAGAGACTTCTATTAACTGGGATATCTACCTACAAATTGTCCATAAGCTATGAACTCTACTTGTATGGACCTGTAAGATCCAAGTCATATATTTAGTCTTTTGGATTTGTGATATTTCATATTTTATTATTAAAACCACTGCTAGGAACATATTTTATAGCCAGTTTTCTTTCACATTCTAAAAAAGTTTTCACATTTCAAAAAAGAAAACATCCACTCAATTTTTCCTTCCAGGTCAGAAAGAAATTAATCTCTAAAAATGGAAAGGAGGAATCAACTTTAGGAAATCAAGCTTATTTTCACTTCTTCTGGGGGCAAGGAAGATGAGGGAAGCTGATCTCTGTCCACATTCAAGAAGTTTCTCAGTTGCATCACCTCAGTTGCTGTCCCTTTTTGAATGGCATGTACTTTTCCCCTTTGAATCCACCCCAGGTAGATTACCATTGAGGTGAAGACAAGAAAGCCCCTTACTTTCTGTGACTCTCTACCAGGCAGTCATTCCCCATTAGTGAGTGCTCTTCCCTCAGGCTCTTCCTGTGGAAGGCACCAGAAGAAGTCACAGCGGAATCTTTTCTGGCCCTAATAAATTAGAGGGGGAAGGTGAGAATCTCTTAAACCTGACAGCTGTGTGTCCAAATCTCTTTGTACTTTAGTTAGTTAGTTTGTTTGTTTTCTCAACCACACAGTTGGCAGGAGAAGTAAAATCGTTGAGCCACATAGCATAGTGAACCTTGGGCTTGGACGTCAAGGAGAACCCAATAGACACCATGAGGAGCAGACAGGCATTTTTCTCTTTCAGGAGTTCGTACTTGAAAACATGGATTTCACTTGGTTTTGGAGAACTTAAGAGGCCAGTACATTGGACTGCCATCTTGTTTTCCAATTTGGGAGAAGGTTACAAAAGCCAAGGGACTCTATGGGCAGAGCCAAGATCTCCTCTCTACCAGTGGTGTTCCGAGATACCAAAGTCCCTTTCAAGCACCTCTCCCTTCACATCGAACCACAGAGACACATAATAAGCCTCAGATTCTGCAGTTCATTCATTGAGGCTTTATTTCTCCACTGCCACAAAGTGAGACATAGATTAAATTTTCTGAGAATTGATGGCAGGTAAAACTTTGGGAACAGGAATGAAGTATCTGCATATTGAACACAAGTATACTCAGATTAAAAACTGATAATAATAAGTGAAATAAAGACACTCTTTATGTCAGTGAGCATATATGTTCTTGGGATTGACAAGCTAGGCACAAAGAGTAGTACATAGCACCTAGTAACTGATATAACATTTTCTGAACATTTTTTATCAAATAAAGGAAAAGTACATGTAAACAAAGAGATGTAATCAGTTATGTGAAGGTAGTGTGGAGAAACTGCTTGATATTAGTATTTCTCTCAGTTAAATAAGTCTAATTAGGCTGGGAATAAGAGGAAAATGTATGGACTAATGAATGAACAGAAAATTAAGTAACTAACAAGAGGGTTGCTAATTCAGGAGAACTACAAAAGAATTTTTCCATTGCTATCCATACATCTGAATGTAAACATTATATCATAAGGATTGGGAGTTTTACTCTGGGATTAGATTTTATATATTTGAATTTATAAATTATATATTTACTGTATTGTAGCCTAAAGCAAAATAGTTTGGCCTCTTGAATCTCCAGTTTTTTCACCTACTTCACGGGATTATTGTAATGAGTGAAGTGCCAAATGTAATTGATTTAGCACACTGCACCAAAAACCAAACTAACAAAAAAAAAAAGGCACTGTCATCCAGTCCATCCCAACAATACAATGTATGGCGAAGCCTTAGGTTACATAATAGAACTGGGTTTCATGGTTATGACTCTTTAGGATTAGATCACCGGGACTTTACTCTGAGACACCTCTGGTTGTTGCCTGTGTGCTTAACCAAGCGCAGGGCTGTTGATGCTATGTGCTATTGAGTCAGTTCTGACCCACAGCAACACCGTCCACAGCAGAAAAAACACTGCATGGCCCTGCATCACCCTCACAATGGTTCCTATGCTTTTAACTCCACTCTTGCAGCCACGATAACTCTCTCTCTTGTTGAGGGGCTTCCTGTTTGTCACTGTTCCTCCACCTTGCCAAGTATGATGTTCTTCTCCAGAGACTTGTCCCTCTTGACAACATGTCCAAGTATGTACGATGAAGTCTCACTATGCTTGCCTCCAACGAGCACTCTGGGGACGCTATGTCCAGGACAGATTTACTTGTCCTTTTGATAGAAGTTGTCAAGGATTTTGTCTTGCTTATCTCCACAATCAATGTCTGGGACGCAGTGTTGATTGTGATGAATTGCTCTGTTTAAAACTCTTGCTCCTGGTGAGCCTTACCCAAGCCATGATATTTTCCATTGCCTCTTATGCATATAAAAGTTATACATTGAATAAAGAAGACTGAAGAAGAATCAATGCATGTGAATATTGGTGTTGGCAAAGAATATCGAAAGTATTGTGAACTACCAGAAGAGCAAGAAAATCCACCTGGGGTAAAATTTAGCCAGAATTCTGCTTAATGATGCACTTTGTACATGTCAGGAGAAACCAGGTTCCGGATAAGGACATTATACTTGGTCAAGTAGTTGGGGCAGCAAAAAAGAAGATCTTCAGTAAAATGGATGGACACATTGTGTGTTCAAACATAAGCACAATTCTGAACATGGCAAGGTCTGGGCTGTGCTTACTTCTGGGGTCCAGACGGTCTCTGTGAGTCAGAACTGACTTGACAGCAACTAACCACAACAGCTATGCTGTTCTTCCACATTACGAAGTGCTGCACAGATATGGCAAGTCTTGAAGGGTTCAGAGTATCCCGTGGTATGTATGTTCAAAAGCTGTAAAAGAAATCGCTGCACATTGGCTGACAGTTTTAAAAAGTGTGAGGGCTGCGTGCTGTGCCACTTTCCTACCAGATTTCAGGTGGGTATGTACAGGCGGAGTAGGGAATAGAGTAAGGAAGTAAATATAAAATTTCCCCATTCAGCACCGCCCTGACTATTATCTCCAAAGAAGGAGACAAACCAATACGGATTCTCAACTGAAGAGTTAACCAGATAGGCTACAAAGAATCATTTCCTTCCCCTTTTTTAGTTTCAGGTCCATTTTCAGTCCATTAGTCTCTGCCACCTAGCCGGTACTTGCTGGAGATGCGTGCTTTTGTGAGAAGCCTTTCCGTGCTGTGGATATCCTTGCAAATCTTCTGTGAGTAAAGATGTAGTTACTGTCCTTGGAGGGAGAAAAGTGAATATGGAGAGCACCCTGGGTGGGAGCAATTTTGTGTTAGCAGTCTTCATGGTGACTCTTTATGGACATGCACAAACTATTGAGCATGTCTCTGTGACTCTATTGGACATAGGGTGCAAGAAAAGACAATTGGGCTCAGTAATAGCCTAGGAGAGCAGCCAAACTGGCAGCTTGGCACCTTTCAACCACTTTGGCTTCCCCAGAGGGCAAGATTCTTTCCGTGGAAGAGAGAGGCCCCTCCTCTCCTTGGGTTAGATTACTGAGAAAACAGTTGATCCTTCAACCCCATGAACATAGAGTCCATACAAACGCCAGCCCTCATGTGTCCCAGAAGGCCAGAAATAGATATTGACCTACCCTCTCTGGATTTTTTTCAGTTTCAACTCACATACTAGCAGGTGAGTACTTGGTTCTTGTTTCCTCTGCTTTTCAATGTGTGTGGGCATTGCTCTCCGCTTGCTTACAGCTTCCCCTTTTCCCATCACCCCCAAAATAAGACTGGTTGTGGATCTGTTCCTCCACGATCAACCTGCCTTCCACCTTTAACTTCCCTCTTTTCCTTCATTTGAAGTCTTCATACATACAACGTCATTGTGTCATAGCACGCCCTCCTTTTTTATGCCAGCAAACATGACTGTTACACATCTCGATGTCTCAGCTGCTCTCTCAGGCACGGTCATCACATAACACCGTTCAATTCTTGTAATAATTCTAAAAGATGAGGATTATTTTATAACTGAAAATGCTGAAACTCAGATAAATTAAGTAATTTGTTGGAGATTACACAGATAACAAGGGGCAGAATTTCAAAATAGGTCCATTAGACCCAACTCTAATTTTCTTCCAACCACATCATTGCTTCTTCATCACCTTTTTTCTACTTTCTTGATCTTTGTACAAATATGGATATTATCTCTTTGACCCTCTCAGTATTTCTCAATGCCCTTCAGTATTATATATAATTTCTACTCAACATACACATAAAAATTTATACCTAGGAAATACCTTATATGTCATCTAGTCCAATACAATCATTCATCCATTATTTACTAATTCATCCAGGCAGAAAGCACTTAATGAACATTTACCATTGTGTTAGGCAATCGTTGATCATAAAAGACATGGTCACTGTGTGAAATGAGATTGTGTTCCTCATTTGACTAAAATTACATTACTGTTGTCTAGACACTGTAATATTTTTTTCATTAGAGTGAATTGTCCTAAGTTACTCTGTATACTGATTTGCTTGTTTTAAAATACCTTGTATCTGTTTCCTGTCTTTCATCCTGATTGGAAGCTTATTGGAGCCACAACCCTGTATTCCTCCTTCCTTTACTCCTTCTCCTGGGAACCAGGACAAGGTCATGTCAACAACCCTACAAGGGTTTATGACCATTAATTTTCTGACTACTGGTATGTTTGGTTTCCTTTGAGCCACCATAGTTTTCTATTTTTTTTTTAACCTTAACATCTCTTTCCAATGAGTCCTGGTGATGCAATGATTAATGCGCTTAGCTGCTAAACCCAAGGTTGGTAGTTTGAATCCACAAGTTGCTTCACAGAAGACAGTTGTGGCTGGCCTACCTCTGTAAAAGATTTACAAAGTTAGAAACCTTATGGGACAGTTCTACTCTGTCTTATAAAGTCATTTTGAGTTTTAATCTACTCAGAGGCAGTGCTTTAGATTTGGGTATATACCTTTCCACATTTTTATCTTTTGGAAGATACAGGGAAGTCTAAGATTTCCTTGGATCCCCCGTGGAACAGAATATTTGGAGGCGATAATGTGATGCTTACATGTAATGGAGGAAAGTCGGTTGTAGCCAACTCCACTAAGTGGTACCACAATGATTCCCCTTTATCAAACTCGACTTCTTCAAGTTTGAAAATTGTAAATGCCAAAATCCAAGACAGTGGAAAATACACATGTCAGAACAAAGAAAATAAACAGAGCAACCCCGTGTATCTGCAAGTCTTCAGTGGTAAGTCTCAGTGCTACGGGAATCTGGGCTCTTCTGTGGGAGGAATGGCTCAGGGCCACTGGTGTGTTATAGTCTTTCCTTCAATACTTGTTCATCATTCTTTTCCCACCTCTCCTTCTTCCTTCAGCCCTTCTACCCTCTATATTTTGCCTTTGGAACATATTTTTAAGATACATATTTTTCTGAATATGCGGTCAGATCATATATTGAGTATGTAGAGTTGGAAAGGGTTGATTTTGTGAATTAAAAGGCTTGATTAGAAAAGTTTGCATTCCTGATCCATATGCTAACACCTGAATGTAATATTGTGTTCATTATGAAAAATACCTGTGTGATTTCTTCATTTCCTCTACTGTTACTGAATAAGAAATTTTATGTTTATTTCATCTTTATCATGATCCTACTTGCCAGAAATTAGCACAGCATACTTGTGTCTGTATGAATTAGTCAGTAACTGTTGGATGAACAAAATAATGATTTCATTTGTATGACCAGGTCATTGTTTTAATCTATATGTTTCTCTTAAGTAAGAAATAAACATGTTCCAACATTTGTAAGCAAATTTCAAATGCAAGTTAAATCACTGTAGAATAGGTTTTCATTTCCTTGGAGTAGATTCTAGAGAAATCTTCAAAGATTGCTCCAAAATAAAATATAATTGAAAAAATTTTCCACATTTCTACTGTAAATTCCCTTTTCATGAATGATTTTCAATTATTTCAGTGTTATTAGTAGACACAATGAGATTCTTATCATAGGTGACTCAATATTGACAAATATTTGACAATTACTTCTAGTAATTAATTGTGTTAAGGAACATAATGTATAAAATGAACATGACCTCTGTCTTCCTGGAACATAGAACCAAATTATGAAGGTATTAAATAGATAATTACATAAGTAATTAACAAAGCCATTATACATGTTCTGAAGTAGCCCCAGTGATGCTGCTTTTAAGCACTCAACTGCTAACTGACAGAAAGGTTGATGAGTTGAATTCGCCAACCACTCCATAGGAGAAAAGACCTGGTGATCCACGGCTGTAAATATCCCTGCCTAAGAAATTCCACGGGGCAGTTCTACTCTGCTCTATAACGCTACCACGAGCCAGAAACAGCTCAATGGCCAAAACAACCTGTTCTGAGACACTTCCAAGCAAACTGTGACCTGGGAAGCCCCTCTGAGGTGAGAGGGAACAAGGCAGACATTCTCCTACACTAAGCCTCCCTGGCAGATTATGCTGATGTCACTTTCAGTTGCTCAAATAAGCAACAATGGATCCCAGGGGGATTCGGGGTGGGGGTGGGGGACTCGATGGCAGTGAGTATGGCGTATGGGAGGACTAAGGAGAAAGATCAGAGAATCTTGGGTTCACCGAGCGACTGTCTAGCAGGGGAGGGGAGGACTCATCAATATATAAGATGGGTCTAAATTCTATTCTTCTTTCCTTTTTTTATTGACCGCATCAGTCAAGAAATGAATGAGCAATAATTATTCATGGTTTCTGGTGCACACTCTTGTATGATTCTCTTTTAATTTATCTAACCATATATGTATCTATTAATTTATTTCTACATAAATAATATAGTGATATTTTTCAGACTGGCTGCTCCTTCAGGTCTCTGATGAGGAGGTAAGAAAGGGCAAGCCACTATTCATTAGGTGCCAAACTTGGAGGAATATGAACGCCTACAAAATGATCTACTTCAAGGATGGCATAGGCCTCAAATACTGGTACGGTAAACATAACATCTCAATTGCCAAGGCTGAATTCAAAGACCATGGCACCTATCGCTGTGAGGCCATTGTTCAGAGGATAAAACGTTCCTCAGCATCCCTCAACATTACTGTAATTGGTGAGTTGGTTTTAAAAGATGAAAAGAGCCCATAGCAAATGAAGGAAATGAGGCATTTGAGCTTGATTAACAGCAATGTGTAGTGTGGGGCAGTTGCAGTACTTTAGAGAGACCTGAGATCTAGAATGTCTCTTAATGTTTGTCTTAGATTCTTTACTTGTTAAATGGTAATGGTAATATTTCTTCATATTACCGGATTTTTTTATAAATATTAAGTGGTGTATTATTTGTGAAGTGGATTTGTTAATCGCTAAAACCTGCCCAAGTACAACACATCGTAAGTGCTGTTTTCATCCCAACATCATCTGTGTGCTATTGAAAAACTATTTGCATTTGTGAAATTGCAAAGGTGACTGGAAGTTTAAGGAACAAAGGGTAGGAAGAGCTGGAATATTTAGTCCATTCTAGTCTTTTTGGGTTGGGAAAGTAAATCAACAAGTGTGTCTGTGTATTAGGGAATGAGAGAACTGACAAAAAGCGGGTAGGAGGAAATAAATGCCTTGCATGGCAGACTCTAATCATACTAATAGCTATAAAAGTGCAAGACCAGAAGTCAGAATTAAGTTCTTATTCTTTTTATTTATTGTTTACTAATTGAAGTATTTACTATTTACTAATTGGAGAGCTTGGTGCTATTTAATTGTCCTTGCCATCTGTAAAATAAAGTGTTTGGTCCAGATTCCATTAGAATCATTTGGGGAATTTAAGATATATATATTGATGTCCGTGTTGCATCCTAATAGATTTTGATTTGATTGGCTTTAAATGAGGCTTCCATACTTGTATTTGCAACATCTCTTCTGTGTAATGATAATATGTAGCTAGTGTGGAAAATCATTGGCCTAGTTGATTTCTAGTTGCAACATTCTGGGTATCTAAATACTAGAATGATCACAAAATGAATACTTTATAATAGAATAACAGAACCATAGAGTTGGAAGGCAATTTAAAGATGATTTCATTGAAGACCTTCATTTTACTCAACAGACACAAAAGAAATGACGATTAATTAAGAAGCAAGGCACTTGTAACTCTTTGGCCTCTCTTTGCCTTCTGCTCGTTTTCAAAATCATATGAAAGCTTCAATAAGTTGATGGAAAATGCAATTAAAAAATAATGGATTTTTTCCCATGAACTTTTTGCAGTCTTCTTAAATGTGAGTGCTGGTCTTGTTTTTCCCAAGAAAGAGACCAACATGGATTAGAGGAATTGTTATACAGGGATTATGGATAAATACTGTGGGCTTCACAGAAATTCAGGGCGTATGTAAAGAAGAGAGCTTCATGAGTGTTTCCTCTGTCTTTCTGGATACCATCTCATTCTAGAAGATGAAGGGCCATGCTGGGTCATTTTCTTAGGGAGAAGAAAGCCCTAAAAGTCAATCTTCCATTCCTAATGTAAATTATGTTTCTCATTGCAACTGTAGCTTCAAAAGTCAGCTTCGTCTGGCTACACATTTTCATCCCATTGCTGATATGGATCCTGTTTACTGTGGACATAGGATTGTTTATCTCGACTCACCAACAACTCAAATTGTTCTTGAAGCTGAAGAAGAAGAGAAAAGGCAACAAACGCCAGGACGCTCAACCAAAGAAAAAAGACCGAAAAACGTCTGATCCACAACTAAGGCCAGATCCCAAAGAGGAATGACGTCACCAACTCAAGAAACATTTGCACACAAAACGAGAAAGAAACGTTAGCACCAACAATTTCTTTCACTCACCAGCTATTTCTTTTCAGCGTCAGTCATTGCTTCTCTTCTCCAATCCTGTAAGTCACATCCTCACACCCCGGTACACCTGACTCTCCACCCAGGGCAGTCTCCCAGTCACTTTCTTAATCGATGTGTTTAGTCTACAGTATGTACAGCTAGAAGTATATATGTGTAGAGGTCATGAAAGACAACAAGATACATGAACAACTCTCACTCAATCCTGAATTATTTGATTGGCCAGCGTTCTTCACCTTCTCTTAGCTTCAGGTATAGAAACCTGCTTCCACTCTTCTACCGAAGAACTCTTCCTGCTGCCCGCTAGCTGGATAAAATGAACAGCCAAACCAAAGAAAAAACGTTATTTCCCCCCTCTATTTGTATATTTGCTCACTATTTTCTGGAAGTTGTACTTCCACACCTGTCCTCCTAATTATATCTCTGTTCTTTGAAAAATCCTAAAATCAATAAAAGAGGCATGTGATGAAGGGAACATTGTCAAATATAGCACACAACAAACAGAGACGTGTGTGCTCAGGACTTCGTAGAACTGCTTCCTTAAACCAATGAAACCTTGCTAAATGGCATGCAATGGTCAGTGTGTGATAAATGGTTGAATAAATGGAAGATTGAATAGATTCATGTATTAGCACCTGTAAAATAAAAGTACAATTTGAATAAAGTAAATATGGAACCATTTAACATGATGCTTTTAAGTGCCAAGTACTCAAGACATGCTAGCTTCTTTTTCGCTTCTAGAGACAAAAACATTAAAGTTCTAGGTTGGAAATCTCCTCCTTTAATGATTACAAGGGTCCTTTTCTGGGGAATTTTCTGGGTTATTAGTTATCATAGTTCATTTCCACCTCCCTATTGGTGATTTCTTATTCCAAGCTTGAAAGGACTACAAATACATTAGTGGTCTAGAAGTTCAAGCTGCTCACTGCCTATGTGATTTGCACAAGTTACTTGTCAGCATTTGAAAATGTGTTCTTCATTTAAAAAGAAAGCGTTTTGGACTAGGTGGTCTCTAATATCTCTTTGAGTGTAGGTATCATATTCAATTACTTGGGAACCAGTCCCATATGACTCTGTAGCCAAAGGAGCTCAGAATATAGTTCCTAAGAAGCCTCAGCATTAAAGTTTAAAAAAAAAAATTTCATTGGGGGCTCATACAACTCTTATTACAATCCATACATACATCCATTGTGTCAAGCACATTTGTACATTTGTTGCCATCATCATTCTAAAAAAATTTGCCCTCCACTTGAGTCCTTGATATCAGCTCTTCATTTCCCCCTCCCTCCCTGATGCCTCTCCCTCATGAACCCTTGATAATTTATGTTATTATTATTTTGTCATATCTTACACTGTCCGATGTCTCCCTTCACCCACTTTTCTGTTGTACATCCCCTCAGGAGGAGGTCATATGTAGGTCTGTGAAATAGGTTTCCCTTTTCTACCCCACCTTCCCTCCACCCTCCCGGTATCGCCACTCTCGCCACTGGTCCTGAAGGGATTATCTGTCCTGGATTCCCTGCATTTCCAGTTCCTATCTATACCAGTATACATCCTCTGCTCTTGCCATATTTGTAAGGTAGAATTGGGATCATGATAGTGGGGGGGAAAGTTGGGAGGAAGCATTTAAGAACTAGAGGAAAGTTGTATGTCTCATTGTTGCTACCCTGCACCCTGACTGGCTCGTCTCCTCCCTGTGACCCTTCTGTAAGGGGATGTACAGTTGTCTACAGATGGGCTTTGGTCTCCACTCTGCACTCCCCCTCATTTACAGTGATATAATTTTTTTTGTTCTTTGATGCCTGATACCTCATCCCTTCTATACCTCATGGTCACATAGGCTGGTGTGCTTCTTTCATATGGGATTTGTTGCTTATCAGCTAGATGGCTGCTTGTTTTCCTGCAAGCCTTTAAGATGCCAGATGCTATATCTTTTGATAGCCAGGCACCATCAGCTTTCTTCACCACATTTGCTGATGCAAACATCTATCTTCAGGGATCGTATTGGGAAGGTGTGCATCATGGAATGCCAATTTAACTTGTGTAGTTTACTTACTGAACCCGTAGATTTTCCCTTCCTGTAAATTAAAATGACACATGGCCACTTTCAGCCTTTTTGGTTTTCAAATGTTACTGAGAGGGCTCAGTCATCTCATTGTGAACTAATGATACCAGGAAGCAATGAAACAGAAATTGCTTATAGAGAATTTTCTTTTTAAATAAAGGAATAAGCTAATTCTGATTCAGAGAAAATTTCTAATTTTTATAAGTTTCAAGAATATAGTAAGATTGCCCTTATGCCAACTAAATTGAACAATGGTAAATTCAGAATGATTAATAGCATGAAACTATTTTCAAGGTTAAAATGTAGGAGTTTTCAATTCAACATGTAAAAAGTTGGGAAGTTACCATTCCTATCTTCACAATAAGAAAAACTAAATAAACTGAAAATCAACAATGCTTCTTAGGCTCCTTAGAGAACTGAGGTCACAGAGAAAATGTTGAGGCTAGAAACAGAGGAGACAGGCAAACCCAGAGAATCCGAGCTGACCAGGAGCAGAAACCATGGCTGACAGGAATATAAAATGGTACAGTCACTTTGAAAGAAAATTTGACAGTGTCTTACAAAGGCAAAGAAAGTTTACTATTCAGGTATGCTATTAATCATTCACCCAGATGAAATAAAGCATATACCTACCCCTAAAACATTCACATAAATATTTATAGAAGCTTTATTCATAATTTTAAAAAATTAAAGCAGTAAGTTTTTTGTTTTATAGATGAATTGGTTAAAAAATGATAAGAAGAAATGAGCTCTCAAGCAACTAAGAGACAAGGAGAAACTTTAGATATACATATACTGATAAGTGAAAGCAGGCAATTGAAAAAGCTATACACTGTATGATTAAGCTATATGACCTTTCGTAAAGGTAAAATGATAGGGACAATAGAAAGATCAACGACTACCTGGAGTTTAAGGGGAAAGATGTAGGTGAATAGGTGAAGCGCAGTGTATTACTAGAGCAATTTTTTTCTGTTAATATTGCAATGGTGGATACATAACTTTATGTATTCACCTAAATTCATTAAAACTGTGCACTACAAAGAGTGAACCCTAATGTAAACTATTGTCTTTGATTAATAATAATTTATCAATATAAGTTCATCAATAGTCATAAATATATCAGACTAATGAAAAATGCTGATAATAGGAAAAATTGTGTGCATGGAGAAGGGCTATATAGGACCTCTGTACATTTTTTGTAATTTTTCTGTAAAGCTAAAACTCAATTTAACCCAATCCAATTGACTGTCAGTGGGTTGATCCTAACTCATTGTGACCCCATATAAGGTCTCTGAGGTAAATCTCTATGAAAGCTAATAGCCTCATCTGGCTGCTAAGGAGCAACTGAAGGTTTTGAAATGTCTACCTTATGATTAGTAATCCAAAACTTAGTTAAAAAGGTTTAAAAATAATGTCTTGCTAAAATATAATGTATATATATTTAATTTACAAAACTTTACTTTTAAAGCCATTTTAGCATATGGTACTTCCTGAAAATGTTAGGAATAGAAACACCTGATGAGCCAGTCAGCACTCTACTTGGTACATATCTTAGAGAAATAATAATCATGACCTGAATAGATATATGTACATCTATGTTCACAATAGCAAAAAGATGGAAGCACCCTCCATGCTAATCAATGGAAGAATGGATGAACAAGCTGTGGTACATATACCCAATGAAATACTGCTCAAAACTGCTGAATAATGCCTGTTAAATATTTTATAACATGGGTAAACCTGGAGGACAGTGTATGTTATCTGTCTGTCACAAAAGGACAAATATTGCATGAAACTATTATTATAAAACAGAAAGAAAGAAAAAAGACTTTAATATTAAAATAAGTATTCTTTGATGATTCTAAGGAGCAGGAAGGAAAGGGAGAGAGGGGAAGCCATGGGCTAGAGGGTAGACAAATATTAACTTCAAATTAAAACTCGCTGCCATAAAGTACCTTCTGACTCATAGCGACCCTATAGAACAGGGTAGAACTTTCCCCTGAGTTTCTGAGACTAACTTTTTATGTAAATAGAGAGCCCAATCTTCCCCGCACCCCCCCCCCCCCCCCCCCCCGAGAGCTGGTGGTTTTGAATGTTAATCTCATGATTAGCAGTTAAGCTCAACACATAACCCATTTTGCCACCAGGGCTTACTAGTATTAACTTAGGTGAAGGAAAAGGTAATATATGGTAAAAGAGAGGTTGGCACAAAATTATGGAGGCAGAGGAAGACACCAGAAGATTTTCAAGAGATAAAGGGAACAGAGGTAACAGAGGCAACTGCTATATACACAATTCCTACAACAGTGGTGATCTGTGAGTAGACGCTTGGAGAGACATACAGAAAGGTGTGTAGGAAAAACCCATGAATATATATATAGGTTTGATAGAGGATTTTTGATAGAAGTTATGTGAATTTACCTTTGCTATAAAGACATCTTTGAATGGGGTGGAGTATACAGGGGGCAAAGTTATGAAAACTGCTTAGACAAAACCAAACACCTGTAGGAATTGGGTTGCTGGGATTGGCAGATCAGGAGACACCAAGATCAGTTGGTATGGCAGAATTCACAAAGAAAGTGTTCTACATTCTACTTTTGTGAGTGACTGAGGTCATTCAAGTTAAACCAGGGACCAACTGAGATGCAATTATTGTTCTCTCCCTATCTGGAGGAAATAAGAGTAATGAACCAAACACACATGGAAGCAATTAGTCCAATGGAATAATGTACCATGAGAACTTCAGTTTCCACATACAAGACCTAAATTAGTGTCTGATCATATTGTTGTTGTTGTTAGGTGCCATCGAATCAGCTCCAACCATAGTGAACCTGTCCACAGCAGGGTGAAACACCGCATGGTCTTGCATCATCCTCACAATTGTTCCTAGGCCTGAGTCCATTGCTGCAGCCACTCT